CTATAAAACCCCGATACACTTTATGATGGGATGTTGTGGAAGTCAAAATCCTATGCCGGCATCGCTGAAAGGAAAGGATTGGAAAGATGATTCGGGTAGGGCAGAAACAACCCATAAAGCAGATGGGGTGGGCTGGCTGGGGAAAGTCGAACCAAAGCCATGTGGGGGACACTATCAAAGGCCAAAATGACCCAATCCTTGGTTGTTTTGGAAATAGAAGACAAAGGTATAATGCGGATCCGGGGCGAAACTCTAATAAATTCTATGGTTGGGCCCTAAGAAGAATAGGTAAACTTGGGCTGAGAAGGAAAAATGGGTTGCAGAATCGGGCCGTAGTGGGACTAAGGGATAAAATGGTAAAGAAATTGTGAGGAAAAGCAACCTAGCTCGAGAAGAACATTCTGGATTAACTAAGGTAGGGCTGTCTGATGAGATTTTTGAATCTTGTGAGGAGAAAAATGAAACTAAAAAGAAAGGTTGTTCAGAGCAGATGGATGTTGATGATGAAGGTAAAAGAAGAGGTGAGTATGAGATGCTGGTGCGAGAAGAGTTAGAAGATGATGATTTGTGCTCTGTCTTCTCTACAAAAGAAGATTTTGAGAATGAAGGTAAATTTTTCTCTGAGGCCAGACAGGTTGAGGACTTCGGGCTATTTGAGTTGGTGCCGGTTGAGGAAGACGCCCTAGCACATAATCAACAGTACATCAAGGAAATAGAAGAAATTCTACAGATCAATCTCGCAGATGTTAATGTGGTGGAAGGGACAAAAGATAGTTAATTTATGTGGGCGGCTCAGAATGTTAAGAAGTTTAGTAAGGTTTTCGGGGTCTCCCTTGAAGGTATGAAAGCCCTTACTTTTGTTTTTCTGAATTAGAAAAGAAGAATTTGGGGGAAAAAGAAAAGGGTATGGTTAATATAAAAGGGAAGAAAAAACCTTTTGGTGGGACACCCATAGAACTCAGAAGAACGGAATCTTCCATAAATTATGATGGTAGAAAGAAGGAAGGCAAAGTTGAAAGGGGACTGGATGACAGAGGTAAATGATTAACAAAGTAATTTCCTAGAATGTTTGTTAGAGGCATTAATAATCATTGTAAAAGATTGATAATTAGGGGCTGTTTGAGCAAATGGAAGCCAGATGTTGTATGCTTACAAGAAACCAAGATGGAAAGTATTGGCGCAGAGGTTGTTAAAAGCATGTGGGCCGTGAACAGTTTGAAATGGAGTGTTTTACCTGCAAACTGCGGGGGCGATGGTGATTTTGTGGAAGGAGGACAGTGTTAGGTGTAAGGAGGTTGTGATTAAGGATTGCACTATCTCATGTAGATCTATATGTATTAATGGGGGGGTTGAATGGAAGTATACTGGGGTCTATTGTAGGAGTAACTGCGAGGAGAGGGGGTTATTATGGGATGAATTGTCAGAATGCAGGAACAAATGGGGGGGAGGATGGATCGAGGGTGGGGACTTTAATCGAGGTTGTGATTAAGGATTGCACTATCTCATGTAGATTTATATGTATTAATGGGGGGGTTGAATGGAATTATACTGGGGTCTATTGTAGGAGTAACCGCGAGGAGAGGGGGTTATTATGGGATGAATTGTCAGAATGTAGGAACAGATGGGGGGGGGTGAATGGATCGAGGGCGGGGACTTTAATATGATTCTGAGAAGAGAGGAACGAAGTGGAAGCTTTTTCTCTTCCTTGGAAGCCACTGAATTCAAGGAGAACATTGAGCTATTGAATCTGGTTGATATTCTTCTAGGTGGGGAACAATGGACATGGTCTAACCTGACAAGTAGGTCCAGAATTGATCGCTTTCTGATTTGCTTTGATTTGCTTCCCCAAAAGGGGGGGGGGGGG